AAATGAATTCTAGTGAGCACCTCTTGATGAATTTTAATACATACACAATTAAGCAGAGGCTGTTAAATGTAATAAAAAAAAACATGATTCTTGCTTCATAAGCCTAGCTGTTAGACTATTAATGGGAAATATGCCTTGTAAGTGCCTCACACAACCCAACCTGTATGGCAGGATGCTACACCTTTAGCTGCCTGTCCCACTGGGATCGGTGAGCAGCCTTTGACGAGTGTTTTTCGCACTCAGGGCACTAAATGAAGTTGGCGGGGGTGAAGGACAAACAGGTAGTAATTATTTATTGCCGGACCACACAGTTTATTTACAGGAACTAATCACTTCTCACCAGGGAAAGGCGGTCACCTCACACATACACACAGCTTAATCACCTTATTCCGTCTCTGTGTCCTCCTTAGAGAGAGCAGCACAATTGAGATCGCAGCTACCGTCACGGACCGTCCTCGCTCTTCCAGATCTCTTCTCGAAACAGCCCGCCACTTCCCTCTTGGAGCCAATCACGACGTCGGATTCTCGTCCCACCTTGCAGGCAGCCAATCACGCAACGGCGCGTTTTTTGGCGGACTTTTCGGCGCCCTGAGCATACACATATTTTGGCGGGCTTTTTCATCGCCACGAACACAAACACACTTACATTATTACAATACACACTTTATGACATAATACACTTTTTGTAACACTATCCTCCTCCACAGAAATAGTCGACCCGACTATCTTACAGATCATAAAATTAAGTGAAAGTAAAATCATAAGAATACAAATAAATCCACAGAAAGAATAACATAAGATAATCAAAGAAAATCACATACAGATCATAAAATGAAGTGATAATAACATCATTAAAAATACAAACAAATCCATACAAAGAATGAAGTAACATGAGCTAAGAAAATCATATATAAATTTATCGTTTCCTTGTAACATAATCTGCCAGCCATACAGGTGGCCGCCTCTGACGCCGTGGTCTGGCTGCTACATAAGGGTCGTCCACCACCAAACCTCCTATACCATCATTAGCTCCAATTTTACTATCACGGTCATCATCATCCTCAGTGTCAGTATCACCATCCATCGCATCATCGCCTCCCACGCTAGGGTCACTGTCACAATCCTATGTGCCGTCAATCACTCCCACAATGTCACTATTATTGTCAAGGTCACTAACCTGAGGTCCCCATGTGAACACACCCTTCCCAGAGTGCCTCCAAAGTCTATCTACATGGACCACCACCTTTCTACCACAATGTACGGACGCTCCCAGGGACTCTGGAGCTTCGTTGACTTCCCACGCCTCTTGCGTGGGTTGTGAAACCACACCTGATCCCCATGGAAGTACACTGCGTCCCTGGCCCGTTCGTTATACCGCCGCCACATCGCCTGTCCTGCTATCTTGAGGTGCTGACTTGCTCGGTGCCTGGTCTCTTCCATGAGACGCTGCAGGGTCCTTACGTACTCAGTGTGCGGTACAGGCAATCCTTCGTCCGGCGCCTCTCCTGTTGCGAGGTCGACTGGGAGGCGGATCTCACAGCCGAACATCAGGCGTGAAGGTGTGAACCCTGTGGCCTCGTGTTCCGCTGCACGATATGCCATCAACATGTATGGGACCCACTCATCCCAGTCATGCTGATCCTCCTTGCAATACTTGGCTAGTTGGGTGACAAGGGTGGCATTGAACCTCATAACCATGCCATCACTTTAGGGGCGCAGGGTGTGGTGTGGGTCTTGTGGGTTCCAAGGAGACGACAACACTCCCAAAAGATCCGAGATTCAAACTCTCGGCCCTGGTCAGAATGTAACTCCCCTGGGACCCCAAACGGGTGAAGACTTGGGTCACCAGTAATTCTGCGACTGTTTCTGCTTCATGGTTGGGAAGGGCACCAGCCTCTGGCTACTTGGAGAAGTAATCCATGGCCACACAGAAATACTTGTTTCCCCTTTCAGTGCGAGGGAAAGGACCAGCTAAGTCCACAGCCATGCGCTCCATGGGTGCCCCAGCCTGGTACAGTTGCAGAGGTGCACGTGTCTTCTTTGCAGGCCCATTCTTTGCTGCACACACTTGACAGGTCCTGCACCACTCCTGGACATCCTGTCACAGCCCAACCCAGTACACGTACCGCCGCAGCTTCATTGTCCTCTTGATCCCTAAGTGGCCACTGGTCTTCCCATTGTGCACCTCCTTCAGCAGTCCCTCACGGCGAGACAGTGGTGCCACTACTAACCACTGCTGTTTCCTGGTAGCAGCATCCACCCAACTCCGCTGCAATACACCGTTCTCCAGGTGCAATCCCTCCCACTGATCAACAAGGTATTTTGTTGCTGGGCTTTCTGGGGATACGGCCTCCCACTGTAGCCGTTTCTTGCCTGCTTCTAGCCACTGTATAACCGGTGCCAGGTCCTGGTCCTTCTGCTGGTCCTCCCTCCACTTCTCATCAGCCTCTACTATACTCTCACTAACCACCAACCTCCGACAAGTGATCTCAGACTCGCG